ATTGTTGCATGCCTACTGCATACTTGTGGAGTTTGCCCTTTATACATCATATTGTTTGGATCATGTCCCAAATATTAGCTGTTGAAAGTGGAGAACACATGGTTGAATCAGGATAGAATTACTGAGCCCTGTCTGGTAATGCCAAAAATTTAGAAATAAAGAGACTATCAGTGTTGGTTCCCTGAGTATTTGGTTTGGATGGGCAGCTCTAAAGTTTTTAAACCCAAGTGAAAAAGAAAAATCGACAGAAGTTACATTTATTTTGGAAATGTGCTGGTATGTTAATGCACTTTTATCCTTGCTAGACTTTAGGCTAACAGTGCTGAGCTGATTGAAAAACTATGTCCAAGGATGAGACCCTGGTCAAAAAAGTACAGAAGGGGCACATCAATATAAAGACCTCCATTCCGTGTCTTTTTGAAAAACTTGGGCCTTTTATTACTTCAATGCCAACCTGCTTCATTCTTCTCCAACCTCATGTCCCGATTCCTGCTTTTGATATATTCTGTGGGCGTTTTCTTTTTATCTTATCGAAGGCTGTGGAAACTGGAGTGTTATGGTGGACAAAAAGGTGCTGGCCAAAGTACGGAAGGGTTGTGGCACTCACGACCTTTCCACGTATCTGCCTTTTTCAAACCGGGCTTTACTGCGACGCTTGGATGACATTGAAATACTGTATCAGCTCTGAGTCACGCTGTGCATGTGAAAAAGCCCCAGTGCTGGGACACATTAGTCACTAAACATGACATTTCGCCGCTATCAATTCTAGAGCCCGAGTTGTGCACTACATAAGGTAATTATTTGTGTTACCATGATGAATACCTTGTCCACGCCATGAAAGCAATTTCTCTAGAAGGGATTCGTTTCCATCCATCTTAAATCTGCTCTAGCACATGCCTCTAATAACGCTGTTATGATCTATTCGATATTTCCCATTACGGCTGTATATTTGACTTGCTTTGGCACTTTTTAGCAATCAGGAAGTCATCAGCGAGGGCAGAGGGTTTCAGACTTTTCACATCAACCCTGTAAATATTTCGGTTTTCCGAGTAACAGCTATAATGAGCCCAAGCATAGCGGCACAAGAGCAAAATATACCCTACAAGCACTGAAACAGGACGAATTGGGGTCTAAACCAAGTCTGAACAATTTGGATTTTTCTATATCTAAATCATAGACTGTATAAAGAAGTGGATTAAGGGAGTGTAATGCCACCCAGTCACATGAAGCTTACGAATCTGGCAGTTATAGGGCGAATTTGGAGTCAAGTTTGGGATTTATTTACTAGCGGTGTAACAATAACCATAATATCGTGATATCACATTGTCAGAGTTCTCACAATAACATCGTGGACCATCACAATATATATCGTATTTCTAGTTTCTTTGCTTAAATTAAGAGTTATGGTGCAGCAATACGTAAAAGAAGACAGAAGGAACTACATAGACCATGATCCTTTGCTCCATTTCAGTGTAGACTACAAGAAGAAATAACAGTTCTAAGCATTTTTAAGTCTTAGTTCTTTGGATTACGTCTTGTCAAGGCATTTTAGTAGCATATTAACAGTTTTAGCTGTTTAGCCTCCACAAAATATCTCAATAAATATCATACCGTGAGACGTATATCATGAAAATATCGTACCGAGATTTGGATATTGTTACATTCCTCATCATGAGCCTACCCACCATATTGTGAGCTTTTCCAAGATATCGCAATAAATATCGTACAGTGAGGTTCTTACCGTGACAATATTGTATCGTGAGGCTTGGATATCATTACACCCCTATTATTTACAGACAAAATAGCCAAAAACAAACCCCACCAGGATTATGGAGAGTGGGTTAACACAAACATTTTAAAACCAAAATGACGAGGCTCGCTGCAGCAGCTACAGAGAGAGAAATGACAGTTTTTCAATGTAAAGTCAACTGGAGCCAGAGTTGTTAGAGCCGGAGATGCCCCCATGCCCACTCCCTATTTGGAATGCGGTGGTTAGTGCGTTAGCTATGTCCATTTTCATACAGTCTATGATCTAAACCAGGATTATATTAGGAAAAACAGGACAAAAGCAAGGACAAAGTCTAACAAAATTTTAAGTACTACCAGAAATGTGCTTTCAACTATTCCTGAAGTATTGACTGTGTGTGGGCTATTTAAATAATTTTTACTCCGCTCACTCCATTGAAGTGCTTTTCTCAAGGTCACTTTCCAATTCAGTGGTTGTATGTATGGTTTCACCTCTGCTCATGCCCTGTAGCTACAGATTCTAACATAATTAACATCCTTAATCTGATGTGATCATTACTAACTTGCCTATGTCCTTGTTGAGATGAGTGCGAGAAATAACCAAAAGGAAAATCCACAAATGTTTTTTTTTATATAAATTGTAAGTGACAAGGCCATTGAACCAGAGCTTTGACTATATAAAAGATCAAATTCTTTCTTTTGAATCATTAATCGCTATGGCAACTGCGCTATTTTCCATCACTCTGAAAGACATCAATATGTAAGGAACATTAGACAATAGTTAGAATTTTGCTGCTCCCATCAACATTAAAGGTGATTTAACTTTCTGTTTGGGAGTCCTTCACTTTTTGTTTCTATGGATACCTCATTGCTTTGCTTGGAATGTTCCACAGTATGACATTAAACAGCTTTACCCTATATTTATTAAATTAGAGGTGGTTTTATAGCTCAAAAACACTTCAAAAACAAGCATCTGACCTGCAACTTGGTCTGGTTTGGGCTAGATGAAGATAGAAAAATTTTAAGCCATAGTGTGAAACATTCCAGACAAGACAATAACATCTCCATGGAGCAAAGCGTTTGACGGACTCTCCAACAGAAAGTTACACAATGCACCTTTAAATATTGCACAGCCATAGACTCTTGAAACTGCACAATAATTGAATCTGTCTTCTTTCCTTTGGACTTTTCATACTAATATTACCTGCCTCTTATGACACCACTTTTTTCCCTGTACGTTTGACATGCTTTTGCACTTTTTAGCAATCACAACGAACAGGGAGGGTGACACAGTGTTTCTTTAAATGCCAAAAAGCACTTTGGGATCTTTGGTGACCTTTTATCGCTATGGATGTGATTAAAAAACCTTCATATGTGGTGCGTGGCTATAATTAACAAGAGACCGATTTTATTTCACTTTTTTTTTTTCGAGCGTCTCAGTGATTGATCCAGTCTGTAATGTACTGCTGCGCTGACTGCTTATGGCCGAGAGGAGCGTTTGTGCTTTAAAGGTTGAACAGCAGTTTGCCATTATATAAGTGTGTTGTCAGTGGGATGTATAGTGCACTGTTTATGTCTCTGTCTCCAGTCTTGTTTGAGGCTCACATGCTCTCAGCGCCACAGCGATCTATGTCTCAAGTATCAATAATGTTATGTTGACTTTGTGGTATTGTCCTGGCATTCAAGAGCTGTTGTGCTTAAAGGGTCCATATTGAGCTATTTTCTGAGCAAAGTTATAACATTTCATCATCAAAAACAGACCTGGAGTTGTGTTTTGTTTCATTCGCACATGTTTAACGCACAAATCCTGCATATTTAAACTGAGCTCTTCTCTCTAACGGAAAACACTCTGTTCCACCTTGTGATACAGGAAGTGCTCTACTGTGTTTTTAAACTCCATACACCTTCACTAAGATCATTTGGATGATTTCAGACCTGGAATTGCCAATCTCTGCTGAACTAAAGGTGAAAAGTAGCTGTTAACTTGAAAACTTCATGACATCACAAGGTGGAATAGAGCATTTTGGGGATTGGAGATGTAAACAGACTAATAATAAAGGATTTCTCGAATGTCTGAATGAAACAAAACACAACTGTAGGTATGTTTTTGAGGAGGTAACAACACTTTGACATGGCTTAAAGCGCACAAGAATACAAAATGTGTTTAAGCTTTAACCTTTAAACTTGCACAATGTTTATTGTGGAAAGGTTTATGACTTTGTGAATTCAGGGTCAGTTTTATAGATGTGTTAGTAAAGCTAATTAGTTTTAAACTGCCTTGGGCTTGAATCATCTGCATTTTCAGTTTTAGTTTATTTTGTATTTAGTTTATTTTAAACTTTAAACTTTAAAATAAGTTTCACCAAAGTTTGAAGTACGTGCCAAACAACATGCTTTTACTGACAAAGGATTGACTGTGGACCTCTTGATTTAAAAAAAAAAAAAAAAAAAAAAAAAGATTATTGATGATTGAATCTCAGATGTAAATTGAAATTAAATAAATTGCTCCATTATTTTGTTCACAATACATCGGTGCTTGCTAACCGCTATGCCACAATACTCGCAAATTACATTTACAATTCCATGTCAAAATCTTTATAAATGATTTTATTTTAATTTGTGATGACATTTTCCAATTATTGAAAACCAATGAGCCATTCATTCATGTGTGATACGTGCATGATATCAATTTCTGCCTATGTTCTGGGAATGAAACTGAAAGTATTTCTATATCAGTATTTTCCTTATTGAAACTCCTACATATAATTCACTTAAAAAATTCTAATTAACTGTAGTAAAACCGACTCCACACTTTAAAGATGTTTAGCTCACCCTTGATTTAAATTATTATACATAAATTTACTTTTAATCAAAGCAGATCTTGCTTCTCCAGCTCATACATTTGATACTTTAATAGTGCGCCTCCTGTCTCACCACCCCATGCCTAATTAGTTTCTTTTTGTTGTATAAGATATATATATATAATATATATATATATATATATATATATATGAGAGAGAGAGAGAGAGAGAGAGAGAGAGAGAGCGCTAGCTCATTATTTTTGCTTTGCCTTCTCTTTCTCACTGTTTTGCTCTCTCTCTTCCTCTCTCTCTGTCTCCCACTCTCCATTCCTCACTTGATTTTGAATCTGTACATAATTAATCTTATGTCACCAGCAGGAGATCCCGTTTCTCAGCAGGTTGGGCTTTCTTTGAGCAGACTTCTTACTTATTTCCCCTCTCTCTCCTCCACAGACCGACAATTTCCCCTCTGAGCCTAATTATATGGGCAGCAGACAACAGTTTGTACAAAGGTAAGAGTTGGGATCCATAACCATCACAACAACGCATCGCTTTTTTGTTTTTCCTACCTACAGTAAAGTCCCTGTGCTCCACTTGAACAGCACTAACTGAAACACCTTTAATTGAGTGAAACTGGTGTGAAAATGCATCAAGGGCATACGTTTAATCTATGTAAATAGGTAAGCACAGGAATAGCAGTGCATATGTAGAAATCAATCCTGTAGTTTATTTGTGTGATGCTGCTGCAGTCTAATTGTGCACTCATGCGTAAAGGTGCACTGTGTAACTTTTCTGGTGAGGGGTCCACCACCTGTTCGTCCCCAAGGATATGTCATTGCTTTGGAATGTTCCACAGTATGGCATTATACTTTTAAAGGGAGAGTCCAGAATTTTGGACATAGAATCTAATTTTCTAGTTGGCCAGAGTGTTGGAGACGTGTGGAAACATTTTTTTTAAAATATTCCATCCAGTCCTTGTATTTGCAGAGGTCACTGGTGCTAGGCTAGCGCATGTCAACGGCCACTAAAAACAGTCTTACCCACTCCACAAAGCACCCGAAGCATATCTGTTATTACGCCAGACTGTCGATGTGAATGTCTGTGTTGATAGAATAATTTTAGACATAAAACCAACGTTGCATTTGAAGGATTTATGTCTGAGCTGCAGCAGCGAGTTGTACTTGCTGATAGAAAGCTTGGCAGCGGCGGACTGATATATGAGAAAATAGTCCCTCAACATGTGACGATTCATGCAATGCAAAGTTATTATTCTGTCAACACAGACATTCACATCAACAGTTTGGTGCAATAATAGATTTGCTCCGGGTGTTTTGTGGAGTGGGTCAGACTGTTTTTAGTGGCAGGATAACTATGGCCATTGACATGCACTAGCCTAGCACCAGTGACCTCTGCAAATACAAGGACTGGATGGAATATTTTAAAAAGTGTCTCCACACATCTCCAACACTCTGGTGAACTAGGAAATGAGGTCCTATGTCCAAAATTCCTGACTGTCCCTTTAATTACAGGTGCTTCTATATAAAAAACTAATACCTTGAAAAGCATTCTCAAAGCAGTGACATCCCCAGACAATCAGGTGGCAGACCCTTCACCTGAAGGCACCTGTTACCTTTTATGCTTGCCAGAAGACCCTTGAGCATCAAACAATATTGTAAGCCAGTATATATTCTACTGTGAAGAACAGTATAATGTGTGTGGTCAACTGGAGCAGGCTGTAGCTGCTGACATTACAGTTTCTATCAGCCCACTGTATGTTCAAAACGTAGGAACAACTTCTGTGCTGTGAAATACTTATATTAGATGGCCTTCCTTATGAACTCTCACTATTTATATACAAAACAAACAAAAACATGACATGAAGTAGTTTGCTTGTTATTTTACAGCTGTCGTTCTGAAAAGTTTGGGTTCCTTGCTTCTACAGCTTGTATTTCACATATTTAAATTGGGCACCGTTGTAAGGCCATTGTCAACATTGGTTTAAACAGCAGCCTTTTGTCTCGGCACTCAGCGACAGAGCAATCCCCCAAGTGCATTATTTTATTACATCCTAAATAATCTTATTCTAATTGTTCTTGTTTTATTTAAGCGTTAGGAGATGTTCATGAATGTTTCATTTTGTCTCCGAAGGCAAGGAAAGCTTTTAAAATTCTCAGCAGCCGACTGTACTAATGCTCTTTTCTCTTTTTTTCCCCCTCTCTGTTTGTCTAGTAGTTCGACATTTAAAGACCCAGAGCGCGCCAGCCTCAGAGACAGTGGCCATGGCGACAGTGACCAGGCGGACAGCGACCAGGACACCAACAAAGGGTCCTGCTGCGATATGTCAGCCAAAGAGGCGCTCAAACTCAAGTCCACGGGAGTCAAACCCCCACCCCAAGAGCAAGGTGAGCTCCGCTTTTGTGTTCACTGTGACTGTGTAATGAATGAGTGAAGTCTCTGGCACAAAACACCTTCGCCAAAATGAATAACAGGTCATTTCCATGTATAGTGAGCCCGTCAATCAAACCTTACCAGAATTATGCCTCTCCAGTGTCCATTTACAATAATAATTCAAAGTCTTTATACCATGTTTCATCGCTGCTAAAGCACAGTACTAGCTCTAATCCTTGGGCAAGAAACTCGACCTATCTTGTTTATGTATTATTGATGGTTTGATGGTGTGTTTGAGGCTGCTCAAAGATGTTGTAAGCGCAGTTAAAGTTATTGCTGTAGTGGTTGCAGGGCAAAATGTGAGGGTACATTAGCGGTTTAGAAAGAAATTATATGACCAAGTCCACTTTATTGACTCAGCTGGCAAACCTGTTATCAACATTTGACCCGTCCTTCAATGCAACTGCGGAGACTTGACAGGAGTAGTGAGTGTGTGCAGTGCCAGTGGACCCTTAACCGTAACTTGAGCCAAATTGAGGATGAGAAGTACCAAATTGTGAACATTATTTGAGAAAGTTTTAGCTCTACATAGAACTTAAGTATTACAAATATAAGTTTTGTCATGGCTGATACCGATATTGATTGTTTAAAATGAAGAGAAACCAATGGCTGATAAGCTCTGCTGCTATTTTTTTGATGATATATGTGGGACCAATTTTGATTTTCCTCAATTTAAGTTTACTACGAACTCAACTATAGCCCTTTTTACCAAAGAGCTAAAGGAGAGCTGTGTAGTCATGTTTTGCAGTTTTCTCTTTGCACTGAAGTGTTCAAATAAAGCTTTGAGTCTATTTTTTAGGCATCATATTGAGCAAAACAAATATAAGATTTAAGTCTGATAGCCAATGCACTAAAAATCCAAATATTGGCCCGATATGCCTTTCTCTATTACAAATCAGTTGGGACTGTTTTCTACTAATCAGTGTATACATAACAGATTACGTATATATGAGATGTTTGGATTTCAGCTTGTACTTATCTGAAGGATTAACCTAAATCGTGCATGTTTTGACACTTGAACTAAATCAGTGTAACTAAAACAAACTCACAGACAGTGAAATCATGCAAATTTGAGCAAACCTGGGTCAGTGCTTCTCCGCGGCCCGAACAAACATTTCACCACCTCGCCATACAATAGGTGAGCCCTGGCTGCTGTAATTTGCCTGTTTGATGAGTGACTGATGCCTAACAAACAAAACAGCCCGCCCCAAATGAGAAGCACTTCATTTCCCTTCCCTTATTTGTATAGCGCTCCCGACTTGCATGAGCGCTCCCAATCTAAACCAGTTAGTACTTTGTTCTGGCTTTCCTCGCTTCCCTCTTTCGCACATATGTGTGTTTGTGTGTGTGATTTTGAAGGTGTGAGAGAGGGCGCAGCATCCTTGGTTTATCAAAGTAGACAGGGCCATTATGTTTTTATAAACCCAACTACTTCCGCCCCTTCATTTAGTCTCTCTCTCCCCAGCACCATCTCTGAAACTTTGATAATGGAACATGGAAAATGACTTAGCGCGCGTCAGGCTGTGTAACTGGTGAGCGTCGGTGATTAAATATGAATAATTATTCTAACCGCTACGGGATGGGCAGATTACACGGGACATGTGTAGAACAATAACTCCCCAGATGTGAATTCTTACAGTCCCTTCTCGCCCCAGCCATCCAACACCATTAGTTCAAGGTCACGGAGCACACCACACGGAGATTGTACCGGAGTGTGTCAAGAAGAAATGGTGACACTTGTAAATTTCACACTCACGCTTAGCCATTCATGTGCTGTTTGCGGCGTGGGCCATTACCTGCTCGGCAAAACGGATATTCACTCAGAAATACAAATATACTCCGGAGTCAATGTGTCTCTATGGAAAATGTATGTGTGTGGTTGTATCCAGGACTACAGCAGCATACACAAACCATAGATTCTCTCTAATGGTGCTATTAATCCAGATAACAGAAGGCCTGTTTTGCTTTGAACACAAGGACAATGACGCTCTGTGCTGCAATATGCATGTCTCACTAAGTAGCGTTTCTTCTCCTTTTCACACGGTTTGAGGATGAGAAAAAGTCATGCACGTTGGCAAGAGAAATTGGTCAATTAAAAAGCTCCATATGTTTCTCATTTTGGAAATGTCCCTATTTAATTGTCCATGAGGGACCTGTACAATCAGATTTATGAACTCGACACATATGACGTGAGGAAGTCTGGTGCTCAACCCCAATTTGGAAAAGGTCTGGAAATGTCTCTAAAAATGGCTCTCTCAAAGATCCCACTGCACAGTTATGGATTTAGACCATTGGCTCCAGTCTAGACAGAAATACTGTGTTGGGTATTGGTTCAATATATAAATTAAGGGTTAAGCAAATTAATTCATGTATGAAAATTGCAGTTACTGACACTGAAAATACTGTAATACATGTATTGCTTCAAACCCGTCAAGATTCTGCCTATTATTCAAGATGTTAAAGATCATATTTCATCATAGCTTAAATGCACCGTATACCCTGAACAGGAGCACCGTATAATTCTACACTGGAAATCCCTGTTTGAATTAGGATTGCATCTCTCCGCTGTCTGTCAATAAGAGGCTGTTGTTAGCCTTGCCCGCTGTAGCACAGAGCTGTCTCCCCTTTGCCCGGCTCCGTGTGTGCTTTCTTTCGATCTTTCTCCTTTGATGGTCCGGAGGGCGAGAGGGTGACCGCGCCCGGGAACGCTCGGCTTTGGAAGTAAAGCTCTTGTAACCTGCCAGAGCGCGTTTGTCACTCATCAGTGCCCTGCTCAGCCCCGCTTTCTCCATAGACACACACTGCAACTTTTGTTCCTCCCTCTCCTCGTTTAAGGGGGGAAATCGATTGATGTAAGATTAGACAGTTAACCGGCTGCAGCTGCCTGTGTTTAGCCAATAACACCATGACTTAGCTCGGCTCTGAAGGGGGAGGGGCCCGCCAGGGGAGACAGGTGTGGTCCAAACTTCAATGCATCTTTATTAAGTGGATAATAGAAGCAAACAATGCCTCTTTAGGGCCGTATTTACTGCAGATGAAACGATTATTGATCTTTACAGGGAGGTTGACCTTTGTGCTGTACAGTGCATGTATTTAAAATGCAATGCACACAGCTTTATGCTGACTACTGAAAATACAAATATAAAACTAAAACCAATGATGAAACTAGGACTCAGTATCATTAAAAAGTTACCGATACAATACATACCTCGATACAGTGAGCTTTCGATACGATATGATATATTTCAAATCAATTCGATACAGTTCAATAAAAATAAAGGCTAAATCATGTCTGTGATTCTAAAAGTCTTTGTTAAACCACTTCTGGTGCAAAGTTAATATGAAACACGCCCATTTTAATCATCAAAACAGTAAAAATATCAAATGTGCTGCATAAACAAGTTTCCTTCCTCTGAACAAGCAACAAAACTGTAGCGCTGTAACAAAATAATTTCCTAAATATAACAAAAAACACTCTTGGCGATATATCGATACAGCAGCCCACGATATCAATACTGTATCATCACATTAAACGGTATGATATATCACTATTTTGATATTTTTGCACACCCCTGGATGAAACTACTAAAAAATGTACTTTTAAAGCACATTTAATACATTATTCTTAACATAATTTCCAATTCATGTTTTTGTTACTACCACATGTACTACATAAATGAAAAGCAGATTACACTCTCTGAAACACTTAAATAGTATCTTTAAAATAACTAGACTTTTAAAGGTTCCATATCACATGTTTCTATGTTACATTGTTGTTTTCTCATCAAAAAAACACTGTGTTCTACCTTATGTTGCAATGTGGTAATCTAGGAAATGCCCCACTGTGTTTTTAATTATGACTGCTTAATTAATACCCTAACTCACTCTAACTAGACTAAGCCTGAATCATCCTTAATTAACCATTTGTTAATTTCGAATTAATGGATTATTAATTAGGTTAACTAATTAAGCAGTGGTTATTATGAAGTCATCTCAATCAGTTACTAACTAACTGAAATAAAATGCATAGATACATACTTGTTATTGTACGGGAAGCCACTATACCATCAGGGTTCATCTATGAAAACATTGTACCTGTATTGTCTTGCCTCTCTGCAGGTATCACTTTCACATTCCTCTATTTTCAGTTGGAGTTTAGATCCATGTAAGCACTATTTATGCACCGTGATATTATCAGATAGAAAAGTGTCATTAGTCACTGCCCGGGGATTGTTTTTGCAGCGTTTTCCTTCGCTTTACTGCATATGTGTTCGACAGCGCTGCTCCCATCCCACAACCTTCTTGACACTCGTTTTGAAAATGATAGTTGGATTTTTGAAGAGGAGTTGTGTGAGGCATTATTCTGCACTAGGGTCTATTAGGGACACGAGGCACGCTGTTTGAGAAGGCATTTGCACACATATATTTAGCAGTGTTAAAACGCTCTCCAATGTGCTTGCAGCTGTCAGGATTGTTCAGAGTAGTGAGTGGATGGTGAATAACAAAAGACTGAACCAAATTCTCCCACATAAAAAGGTGTGCCTCAAACTAAAGAGCAAATACAAACTTCCAAAAATAATATACACATTTTAATACATTTGTAAATACTAAATTAAAGGTGCAACTTTTATAGTAGAAGTTCACCACCTGCCTTTCTTTAGAGAGATTTATTGCTTTACCTGGAATGTTCCTAGCCTAGGTTTGCAAGAACCCCAGAAGTTGTAGACCGCGCACCAGCCAATCAGCGAAGAGCTGTGAAGCCGTGACATCAAACTCAAGCGTCTGTCTGGGTCCCTTTTGTGGTACAGCACAACAGTAAACAATGAGGTCGAGATGGATGTAGACGAAGGCATACATTCTGTGTTGGCAACGATTCCCGAGATCGAGGATTTAAAGCCAGAACAAAGAGAATGTTTGGTGAATTTTATCAAGGTGGAAGACATTATTTCCCTTC